CAACTGAGAAGTCGGCTCATTTCTCCATAAGACTGAATGGTAATGGGGCCGCCCCCTGCTGGCTGTTAGATAGACTGCAGGTTTAAGACATTGTCCATTGTATAAACTGTCAATTAGCACACAGACTCCTTGTCGCCTGTGTAGGTGTTACCATGCCGTCTCACCAGGTCAGTGTTAAGATTTATCATTACTGGACTTAATTACTGTCCGACAGATCTTACAGATGGACAGACTTTTGTCCAAATATCTTACAAACTTTAGATTTTAGATTTGACGGCGTGCTATAAATCCTGTCGGCGTTGACTCTGCACCAACGTTACTCTGGCGTTGACCTTTCAGGAGAGTGGAGACGCTGTTAGCAGCAAAGCTTCAGTCAACAGATTCATGACTTTAGAATCGGACCATCTACTGGTTTATGGTACATTCAGATCCATCCAGGAGTCCACGTACAGATGTAGCTGCAACCGTAACATTAAAACTGATTTCTGACTCATATCGGTGAATCTTTTTACTCCTGGTTAAAAACCTTTGTTACTCTGCTGCAGATCGGCCTTCTGGGTGTTTTATCTTTCAAACGGAGGCTCAGCTCTGTGAGTTGAATGTAATATTGATGCATGAGACGAACACACTGTGTGTATGTTTGAGTATGTTCTGTGTTTCTGTCTTCACTCTGATTCAACTCTGTTCAACACATAATAAACATGTTTTCCTGACATTGTGTCCTGAGCCGTTGTTCCTGTTAGAAGCTATAAATCAACCCGGAAGGTATTTTTGGATGTTTTGAGACATTCGGGTTGTAAGCTGCAGTTCTGTCGTATGGAAGCTGCGAGAGGTCGACGGGTTTTGATCCGTTCGGGCTGAAGAATTTAACAGGGATCTGTCAGACAGCCCGAAGCCTCCAGAGACCAGACAGAGCGCACACATAAACACACACGCAGACGTACAGTCGTATATGTCGACGCTGTATGTCTGCAGACACATTCTCACACACACGTAACAAGACAGAAAACACACAGACCAACGGCAGCGTGAGGACCACGCAGCAGGACTCATACGGCGGTGTGTGAGCCGGACTGCGACGACAGCTGTGTTCACTTCACATGTTCACATACGTGTGTGAGGAGTTACAGAGAACTGGAAACATGTTTGTAGAAAATACCTGAATTCAAATAAAAATAAGACGATCATCAATGTGATATCTCATGTGGCTGCTTCTGTTGATGGTAAAAACTTTAT